TTAAAAATTTTATCATTGTGCTTACTGTATAGAAAAGCCTATTTCCATATTTAATGTGAATGAAGTATATTTTGTACCATTCTCATTACAAGTCGTAATGCATGGTTCAATTGATTTGGCTATTGACAGCAAATTATACTTGTTGGCAGCAATTCAACTGTGGTGTTGTTGCTTTTATACCTGAATTGATGATTCTTTAATCTCTAGTTTATGCATTAATGTTCCAGCGAGTTGCAAACAGAATAGCAGTTGCTGCCATATCCTCGTCCCTGGGAATCACACTTTTAAGTTTTAGTTTAATACGACTTCAGGTCTGTATTATTTATAATCTATCTTCTGTATATTAACGTGAAGTTTAAAAAACCATGACAAAAAAACCTTAAATTTCTGCCAGTTTCTATTTAGGTTTTAAAACAAGTTCTCTCACTGTGTTTGTTCACATGTTTTTCTACGGAAAATTAAGATAGAAATGGCTTTCCTGTCATTGTTTGTTAATCATTTCATTTTAATCTTTTTTTATCCTCTATTACCTTTGAATAACTTTGGTCATAAAAGGCATACTCTGTTGGTTTTGGTTGGGATGGGCTGTACTTGAGGGAAATATTGATCACAGTGAAGGATAGTTAGCGTTTTGTAACCGCAAGGAATAAGCACTATAGAAGTACCGAGTAACAAGATTAACAATGAACTAAAAACAGTACCAATGCCTGCTGGACACATGTTTCTTCAGCATGAAAATGAATCCATATTTTTATGAGCCCTCCATCTCTACTGCTGGAGGAAAATGTTCTTTGAAAGAACCAGTCCTTGGAACAATTTTTCATAACCAATAGAAACACCCATACAGTGCTATATTAATTAATCTGCATATTAACCATGCTTGCCAACAGAATATTTCCATAAATTCCTTCATTTAATTTATACCAAATAAAACAATTTAAATATTATAACATATAAATTTACAAACTAAAAAAGGTGCCAAGTATGTGATGCTAGAATTCCTAGGGTATTTTCAGGAGGCATTCTGTCAAAGCTTTACTGTACAATGCTTAAAATTAATAATAAATTATCTGCATACAAGAAATATAAATTAATCCTATTTAATCTATAAATGCACCTTCAATGTTTACTGCTAACTTTATTAACACCATACAAATAATTGTTAAATATAAAGAAAAACCTCCTTTGCATAAAATGATAACCATTTCTATGTTCATGGACATAACAAATATACTGTAATTACATTGTCAACGAGCTTGTTGCTGTGGGATAACTCCACATTAGAGTTTACTGACGCCCTTAAGAGCAACATTAATGCTAAACAATGATGACCTGAATTGGAGAACATTCTATAAATTCATACACAATTGAACTTCGTATTTGATAATCCAAACTTGCAAATGACAAGTAACTTGGGGAAGGGGGTATTCATAAAAAATAATATTTTTGAGGAACAAATATATGGGTTAATATTATTTAAATTTAAAATGAAAACTAGCTAATTTCAAACTAACAACAATCATCATTATAAACTCTTAAAGAGAGGTCACAAAAAATATGGTTTGTACTTGCTAGAAAATGATGAAAAAATGCCTACTCTCTCTCTCTCAAAAAAAAAAAGAAAATTGATCAGGGTGATAAAATCTTCATTCACCTTATGTTAAGATTAGTCGACACTCTCAATAAAAACTGTTAAAAACAACAATACAATTAATTATTTCAGATTGTAAAAACAATACTTACCAATGAAATAATATTAAAAGAAAAAAAGACTTAGAAGACCCACAAATCTATGTGTTGCCAAGATAAATGATGACGTGTTTTAATAATTTTAACAATTTGATGAAAAACATAAAATAACATTAAAATTCATAATAATAGCAATGTTGGACTATTCCACATAATATAATAATTACTTTTTATTTTATTTTTTTATTTCTTGTTTAAACTTGGTTACATCTCAGTTGAAACCAACTGTTATTACTTTGGTATTGTTTGGAGTAACACCTCCATCAATCAATGTTCAAATAATAGTAACGCCACTAGAGTAACCAACAGAAATAAACAACATTTTAATTTGGCAAATCACAATTCATTACATAACATCACACTCTACTATTACAGTACTGCCCATAAATACTGCACATTTTTGGACGCGTCGGACATGTTCTATTTGCATCCATTCGAGGCCTACACCGTCTAAACATTCTTATTTGGACGCACTCGCGTCTACCTAAAATTGTTTATCAATGTCGATCACGTTAAATTAACAATCCCTTTTTAGTCCTGTGGTACACAATGGATACGTACATGTGCCATTGTAATGGAAAACCTATTAATCCGGCAGCTACTGTACTTTTGTTTTTGAGTCGTATATCCTTTGAAAACATCATTTTCCTCTGCTGACTGATGATCGAAACAATAAATATGACGGTAGCCTGGCATACAGATACTGTTGATTTCTGGCTCCTCAGTTGATGTGTTATTTAATATTACAAAGGTACTCACATCTTCTCACATTATAAAGTTATAATAAAGTACAGTATTGGTACTGCAGTATATTATGTTATTTTTTTATTTTTATAGAGTGCACTTGCGAACAGGGGCCACACCGGTTGCGAAAAACACACCCGATGGGCCAATCAATGGTTCGCTGCAACCGAAGTAAAAACTGAAAAAATAAAAAAACAATTTAGAAATAAATTATATTCCAGGTACGTTGGGCTGTGGCTAGGTCTAGTGTAAAAATTGAAAGTATTTACTATGCAGACACAGTCGGTGCATTACAAATCTTTTCTATTCCATGCGGCTGCTGTGTCATGAAACATGCTACGGCGAGTTCATAGTTCACCAAACTACATGTACAGGCAGGCCGTCCAATGGGTGAAAATTACATCGAAGTTATACGGGTTGAGACAAATTGTAAACAAAGTCCTATAATAATTGTAATGTTAGATCAATCAGCATTTGAAAATATATGTTGGAGTATTATTTGTTATATTGTGTGTATTTAATTACAATATATCGGTATTAATAAATGTAATGAAATATTTAAAAAACGACTATTACGAGAGTATCATTCCATAAAAAACTCATGTTCTTGATCATTTACGGCAATGATGTGTTGTATGTTGAAATCGCAATGCTTATGATGTCTCAATTATTTCAAATGAAAGGCGGTACATATACCGTATTTTGTTTAATGTTCCAAATTAATAAGTCATAGAAAATAATCAAAGCAATGTACTATATTATATATTCTATATTCATGATTATGTAATAAAATATAATTTTCGATTGGTTTATGAGACTGAGATACGCGATACTGGTCCACTTCAAGGATAAGGCTATGTTTACTTCATTAATTTTCGCCATATACAAGGTATACAAGATTAAGTATTCAAGATGACTGGGCATCATCAGAACAACGGGCTACAGTGTGTGATTGATCTTCTGATTCGGTGCACGATTTGCATGGTCGTTCATGATTTTAATTGGGCGCAGTCAAGATTACCAAAATTGGTGCGTGCTATATTGAAAAAAACAAAACAAAAAAAAAATTCAAAAACGGTGCGCATGTAAAGCGGATCGGTACATAATGATAATCAAAAACAAAAGAAAAGTAAAGCAACTTTGAGTACAAGATACAAGATTCTTTTATTGTCGGGTTGTCAACGTAAATTAGTAAAGAAGTATAGACATAAAATAATCAGGACATAAAAAATACAGAATACTGTATATAATAAGATACAATTAGTGACAAGAATTAGTCTATCTATTAAAATGAGCTTTGTGCATGTGAACAAATGATCTCTTCTCAATCAATTTAAATCCAATGTCCAAGATTAGGATTAAATGCACATTATCACCATCACTTCAAAGGGAATTATGTTTTAATTAGTATGCGAACTTAAAAACCCATTTTAACCACCCTTTCTGTGTAGTTGTTGACATTCATACTCGAAAGTAGTTTACTAGTCTTCCAAGTACAGACATCCTATTTTGTCCAACTGAACTATTAATATGATGGCTGAGTGCCCCGAGTCTTTGAATTTGTCTGGTATTTAAAGACTAGACCAGTGCAAAACAGACCACGTGCCACAGGCCCAGGCGGCTGGAGGCAGGTATGACATCGTGTGAAATAGTGCTACAGGTCTACAGTTGGTACACCCAGCTATTTTAATTCATGGTTTCATTTGTCGACAATCGACTCGTTATAACTGGGGAGATGTAACCATGGAGGAAAGGTGCAGTTGTTGCACTATTTAAAACTATGAGGATTTGCAGTGTACATTGCTGACCACAAACTCAAGTTTCAAGTGACCGGGTTTCTTATCAGCGGCGTGGTTGTGCTATTTTTAGCTAAAGATAACAGGTTTGTTAACTGAGACAGTCACCATTGCCAACGAAAATTTTGGCTTGTTGCTGCCAGAGGTTCCATAGTGGTGTAGAATGTTGTTGAGTGTTTCGTTTGATTATGACGTCACTTTCGTTGCTTCATTTGTAGTTTGGTGTGCTTTTACGATGACTTAATTGTTAATCTAACAAGCCTGTGTCAAATAAACAGTTCTGAACTGTTAAGTCACGTTGGACGCATCACGATTTTGGACTCATTCAGGATGCTTCGTGGACGTACTCAGGACGCGTCATGGATGTATTAAGGACGCGTCAAAACGTGCAACATTTAGGGAAGGTACTGCTATCATAGAATAACTCTTTAAACAAAAATTAGCAGGCACAGGCAGGTTTTTGATATTGAAAACCACCGTTTTCAACAACATAATATATTCAACATATTCGACCAGGTGTGCTTTAGGATTGGATAAAAACTGGTCCCAATATTTTTTGTTTATAAAAACAAAAAACAAAAAAAGAAACATACTACAATGCTACCAAATGATTCACGATTGAATGAAATAATCCCAGTGCAAGTGAATTTGAAAAGGATGATAAAATGCCAAACACTACTACTAAATAATAATTATTAAAACTGTAAATACCATCATCTTGATAATTTTCTGCCATTGTTCTTGCTTTTGTCTCAAGTGTGATGATCTTTTGGTCTTTATCAGCAATTTCTTCAAAGGTCAATGGTCTCTAGCTGCAAATAAAGCAATAGAAATCATATATCGTATAGAGAGAGAGGTCAACAGTTGTACACATTTGAAATACCCATCATATTAAATCGGTGTATTTTTTAGTTTCGTATTAAGCAGTTTACAGGTAGTATATATTTAATCAGACACTCAAATAGAAAAAAAAAACATGCAGTTGCCAACCCACTAACTTAAAATCAGTGCGAAGTTTTGGATTTTGGGATGGGAGAAATATGGAATATAAATAACTGTTTTGCTTGGCCTTTCTACTACACAGAAAAACTATAGAATACAACAGTCGTGTCATAACAACACCAGGTGGCATCCTTTTTTGTCAACCAGAATTTGGTTACCATTCATTACGCCTGAATGACTTCATAATATTAATTGTTTAGAATAGGCTTTCTGGAATAGGCATATTAAAACCCAATACATGTAATTTACCATCAAAATGTACTAAAAATCACATTATATTAGTTATCGAACACACATTTAATCAATTAAAATTTACAAAGAAAAACTAAGATACAACTTCTTAATAACTACATTAGAAATTGGGAATGGTTTCAGTGGAAAAAATGGCAATCCGCTTGAACGCATATTGTGTCGCCGATAGCAACGAGGTAGTATCATGTGGTATCGTGACGTAACACTGTAGAACTCTATAAATTATGCAATGGCACATGAGATCTTAGGGCTAAGCCTTTAAAAAAATAAATTTTGATTGATTTATGCATCGTGCCAATTAACAAGGAAACAAACACTTTTTAATGAGCTAATAGACACAAAATTATTTAATATTAAATCTTCAAAACCATGATATTTGATATTTACAATTCCTGGCCCTTCCAGTTGATAGCTAAAGCGTTTAAGCCTGTTTTCAAATAGGTGAATTTATCCGCGCGAATCGAAAGCGTCGGTTCACGTGCATTCACATTTCTTTTGGATCCAGAGATGTCTAAAAGGGGTGGCCGAAATTTGGGCCGATCGAGACAACAATTCCCTAGGGGGTCCGGGGGCATGCCCCCGCGAACTTTTTGTGTTCTAGACGCCCGAAAATAACATTTGAGGCATTGTGGGCTATCATTTTTTTCTTTTTCTTTCTTTTTTTTCTTCTTTAGAGGGGGGGGGGGGCAGCCCCCCCACTAAATCCGCCCCTGGCAGCCCATTGCATTTTAAAGTTTTATGATCATAACTTAAGAAATGGTAGTCCGTTTTTAAAAATTCTTGCTGTTCTTTGTTTCTCTTACCAAACTGCATCATTTGAGCTACAAAATAAAAACACTGGGTGGGTAACATTTTTAAAATAGTGTGCTATACCTACTATAAAGGAGAAACAAATATATCCATCAACAGTGATTTCCTTGTCTTTAAAAATGCTGATTAATATTAGCCAAGCAGTGTTTCAATAATATTATGCAGATATTGTGCAATAATAAGAAAAGGTAGGCCTAGTGAACAGTAAGTTAAAAAATAAAAAGATGTCTCCTTCACCTCGCTCGAGTCTAGGCAATTTATAGATAGGTCTAAACACACAAATGTTTACGATTGTTAAAGTAAAGTCATAATATATAATACTTATTTTAATGACAACATACATGACTCTCAAATTTCGAAATAACATCTTTTAAATGAAAGTAAAGTTAATGTGGATAATAAACTGTACAATTATTTTCCCGGTTACTAGGCTAAGTTGTAGCGAGTATAAATAACCACGTGTTATCATATCGAGCCTCCTGCTTGGAGGCCGTTGAGGCCGCCTCGCCTACATTGTTGCACGCATACGAACGAACCTCCGGTATCAGCGAAATGAAGAAATCAATTGGAGATGATTTTCAGACTTCACAATACAAATGTACTACAGTATGCATTGTATACTCACGTTTTCTACTTTTGGTAATTGTTGGTAATAATGAATTAGACACCATTTTCAGAGTTTTGTTATGTTTACTTCCTACTACCAGGCCAACCAGCAGCATCCGTTTCGCGCGAAGTGATGAGAGACGGCCGATAAAGAATTTTTTCACAAAGGCGGCAGTTCACAATTCATAATTATATGCACATCGAGAGCCAATAAACAAGCATATTCAAAGGACGTCATGACCTGTAAACCGCTGGGACAATATTTAAGTCACAATTGTCATAGTGATACAGTACAGTACTGACAAATAGCTCCTTTTTATCATTCATATGATTACTTTTCATAACAAAGAATGACATACTAAGTATACTAATATATTAATAGGCTTTGTGATAACGATAATGTAATAATAATGAAAATATCGATGATGATGATGATGAGGAGGAGGAGGAGTAGATGATGATGAACACCTACCTGTATGCTGGATGACGATGAGAGGGTGATGATGATGATGATGATGATGATAATGATGATGATGATGATGATGACGATGACGATGATGATGATGATGATGATGATTAGAAAAATAGACACGGAAGCATAAGAAAGGAAAAGGATAGAAATGATAAAAAATATAAGAATGAAAAATGAAAGACAGTTAAGGAATTATAAGAAAGGAAAGGAAAGATAAGGAAACTAAGAAAGGAACAGGAAAGATAAAAGAAGGAAACATAAGAAAGGAGGACGAAAGACAAGGAAACATTTAAAGGGGAAAGGAAAACAATACAAGCAACAAAAAGAAAATGAAAGAAATGATAAGGCAATTATAAAAAATTGACAGGAAAGGAAAGATGACTATAAGTACAGGAAATGAAATGGAAGATCATTGGGTACACACAATGAAATAGGAAGGAAATACAAACAAAAGGGAAAGAAAAATGAAATGCTTTGGGATGAAAAGGAAAGTAGGAGGCCATGAAATTATAAGAAAGTAGCATGCTATAAAAGAATCATTAATAATTGGTGTGTGGGCCAAAAATACATCGTTACAATTACCAAACTAACAATACATAAATACTGATACCGTAGTTTATCAAAATATAAACATCAATATATAAATAATTTATGGTAGGTCTACATTTGTACATTTGTTTATGGTCTATTTTCTTCTCTCGGGGTTGTGACAACGTGGTTTTTTGTTTGTTACCCAAAAAACCAAACAAACAAAATAGAGGCGGAGTACACACCCTCTAAATCCGCCTTTGTAAGATTCAATCAATCTAACTGCCCATCAAAATTACACTTTCTAAATAGTAACTACGGGCTCAATAAAGCTTTTAATTCTTTGTGAGAATATTTTATACTTGACTTAGCTGTATAGTCAACCCGTCCTAGCATTTGGTAGGAGCTCATTTGTAGGCCTATGCCCAATATTAATCCAGAATTTGGTGCTAAAATTAAGCATCGCATTGCTATTGTGTTGCATTTTTACTTCTCCTTATAATATGTAGACCGACGAAAATCAGATCAAATCCAACATTTACTGTTTAATTGTGTTACTTCTATAAAACAAATTCATCATGTAAACTAGGTTCTCTGCAGTTAGGAAAGAGCCAGATAGTCATATTAACGAAACAAACCCAATTTGCTTCATATAGGACGGCTAGGCCATCTATGGCCTACTTTAGCGTACAGAAAATCTGAAATGTTACTGCATACTGTTGCACAACCGGGCCAAAATATCTTCTAAACAAATTTTAAAACGTCAGTCCTGCAGAATTGTGATGACCCAATTAAATTCGACCCTATTATTATATCTGTCGTGTGATTATAACATGACGAAGATTTTAAAATAAGAAAACGAAACCGTGCTGATGTTGTTGAAGATGATTATCAAAGTGTGCATGGTCTGACGTCATTGTAGATGACGTTTTCACAGATACAATAGCCCTATATACAGTACCGTACCGGTATGTCTTTGCTGTGGAATGCTGCGACCGACTTTATATCATTAATGTTGATTCTTTTTCATTGACGTGTTGCTTTCTTATGTTGAGCTAAAAAAAAAAAACTCAAAACAAAAATATAATAAGCCATATTTGATAAATATTTCGTTCTTTCATCAGGAATAATAGCCTTTCAAATTAAAATTTACACTTTAGGTTAAGTGATAAATGGGAACAAGCCAACTGCATGCCATGAATATATAAACTTGCAAATGAATTGCTTACTTCTTTATACTTGCTTACTTACTTAATATTATTATTAGCCTTCATCTGAAAATTACAAGAATTTCTTTCCACCAACGAAGTGATGCATAGGCTCTATTTGCATAGATCACTAAATTTGATGGTAAATTAATTCGAGATATAATGTACTGTTTAGATTTGCATGTCATGATGAAGGTTGATAAAATATTTGACCAGTGATGGGGACGAGCGAGTGGTCAGCGGAAGCCGTTCGGTCAGTAATGGACTCCCCAGTGTCGTTAAAGCCACTCAGGATGATATTTGACTTCAGCATATAAAGATATTAATTAGATGATGCAACCAAAGTTATGATTGCGGTTTTCTCTAGCTAAAATCTCTACACCAACACATCACAGGAAGAAGTCAGAGGGGTTTTATTTCTGGACTCGTACCAGAGAACCAAGGGAACCCCATGGTAATGACCCCTGCACGATTTGCTGGACCTCCTATTGGCAGAGTTCTAGAGCCATTACAGTTTCACCCAGTTCTAAATGAGCTTTGTTTGATGCTGGATTTTTTTTTTAGGTTTTTCAAGATTGGCTGACAATCAGTACATTGGCTGACAATCAGTACAATATTAAATGTACTGTTGGTGGCGCTATTCCGTATAACACTGATGTCTTTACTGCACTGTATTTCACTGTGATATTTTGCAGCAGAAACAAAATTGAAATCCACATTAATTATAATATTATTGAAATAAGTACAGTAGCACCTTCTTTAGACTAACGAAACTCGAACTTTTATTATAATATTAATAAGGCCTAAAAAAGAATCAATTACATTAGTTATCAACTTTTAAGAAATCAGGAATAGATAAAAATAAATATTTCAATAATTTAGAAATAAGTTACTCAGAAAATGTTTGAAATTAAAGACATAAATTTTAAGGTAATTCTTTATTGATATTTCGGCAAAAGGTCTACTCGTCGGGGACGTTTCCCCCCACCCCCAATTTTTATGTTGCTTCAAAATGGGCAAGTTAATTTAATATTAATGGTGCAAGGCCTCAAACCTGAAGGTGCCAGGGGGATTAATCAGGAATTTTCCCCCAGGACCATGGGCCCACACTGGCCAAGCTGGTTCCTTTAAATATTAGAACATGAATACGAATTTCAAAAAATGATGAAAGAAGTTTGTTGTATTTATGCAATATACCTTTATTTTTTATTTTTACAGTATTTTTTTTGCCAGTAGCTAGTTACACTATTTTCAAATGAATTTCTAATTGTGTTAGATGTTATTGTAGTAATCCAATCCATACATCCAATCAGAGGGATTCTCTAAGACTGGTGTAACAATAGTCACTGTCTATATTTCATACATTGATATGGCACTATATTAACACCACTATCATCTTTAGCATTTACTTTCTTAGTAAATATACTGTAAATTCTTTTTGAAAATAAAAATTATAGATTGTATACCTGAATCAATGTACAAATATTGGTTTATTCAATACTTCATCATTTACAAAAGTGATGTTTTAGAAACCACATCTGCTACATATTATCAGTAGGCCTACATTAAATGGCATTCCATGTTTTAATAAATGTTCTCACTAAAAGCATACAGTAACAGGCGTGATGCAGTAGGGGGATATGCATAGTTGCTCACTCACTTTTCATCTATTCTGAAAACGTTGTGCCCCCCCCCCCAAAATTAAAAAAAT